TCAGAGAATTAAGACAATTAGTAACTTGAAATAAATTAAGACTAAGAATATTATCAATAAAATTTAATTCATGATTTGCAGACACATTAGTTAGTGTAAGACTAGAATTAGAAATACTAGCAGTCCAATTTATCGCAATAATTTGCACTTATGAGTTAATGTGATAATCATGTGTAAAAACTCTTTTCTACTATTATTTTTCACAAAATAATTTGGCGGATCAGTTTGCTCTGAGCGCTTGTGTTGTGTACCAAGAAAATGCAGCCCTTTTGGTTTTTATTTCTGTATCGCATCGCGGTGAGTTTCTATTTCTTGGTAATTCGGTTTGTGAAATGGTAAACAAATTATTGAAATTTATTTATTTGATGTGTATAAGATTTCATTAATGCAATTTTTTGTATTTTCAGACTATTAATTACAAGCACTGCATCATCAACGGTGATTGCAAGAACTACTGCAATCCCTGCGGTTTTTCCTCTTGGTAAATGCGTTCAGGTCGTGATCAAGGGTGGTCTCCCAAATCGGCCGGGAATAAGGTTATTCATTTTAAATTTTATATCTTTGTTCGTCGACATTATATGGCATGTCATCATTGCAGGCTATTGTTGTAGAACAAAACGCCGCAACCACTGCTGTGGTAAATATGTTCCAGCAGAACTGCCCACCGCCGTCGGTGTAATGATTCCAATAGCTGAACAAACGCCATCTCCTGGGCATTCCCACAGCTTGCCGACACTAGCTATTATATAACGTATGAATGCAACTGCGGCTTAATTTGGTTATTAACAGTGCAGTCGTACCATGTCATTGGCAAAAACACTAAGGGCTGCTGCCACATATAGGTTGTAAAGTTTTTGGTATCGATGAACATACTCGAAGAAGACGATGGCCGAAAACATATGATGAAACACCTTCTGGCATGCCTTTGACGATCGTTAAGTCAGACGAAGGCTTCACATACGATATTTCACACATGGCTGGAATTCGTTAGCGGACAGAGCACACATTTACAAAATATGTATCGTTCAGCAGAACGTGCATGCATATTCGATTCCGATTTTATGGGTCGACTACGGAGGACAACCGAACTTCAGTTGGTTGGCCAGTGGCTGAAATGGTATTACCGATGGCAACTAGCAACTGAAAGCTGGCAACTAAGTTGCTATATTGGCAAGTGCGTTTTTGTGGCTGCCGGGAATTTTTGATTGAGATACTTTATTT